AAAAAAAAAATCAAAGGAATTACTTTTTAGCAAAACCCAAAAAAAGCTACAGCAGCCTTTTCTTTTTCCCTTTTTCTTTTGCACAGCGGAGAGACTTTGAATTAGGTAGGAGAGATATTTTCCAGGGCTTTGGGTTATCCTATTTATAGCCAAGCAAGTAAGATTTACTTAAAGGCAACCATAATTATATTTGGCAATTCTGTAAAGCGGGAAGTGGGATTCCAAATCAAGGCGATGCGGGAACGCGGAGAAGAAGAAGAAACGCGGAGCTTCACGCGGTTTCGTGATTTACCCGATTTAATGGGAGATCAGGCGTGCTATAGAGATTTAAGGAAAGTTATTAAACTTAATTTTCGGTTTAATAACTTGCCTAAGCTGCAGTGGACAAGACTCCACTTTCTCAACACTCTTCTACTTTAATTGCGGCTGGAAGGACTTTGTTGAAGAAAATGAGATAGAAGAAGGCTATATCCTCCTCTTCGAGTACGCCGGGGATTCAAGCTTTAGGGTTCGAGTTTTCGATAAAAGCGGCCGTTCAGCAGCTGTCTCTAACCCTGAGGGAAGCTCTGGAGTGAAGCAAAAAAACGAGGATTCAACTCTGCAAAATATTCAATATTCTCATCTTTTAAGAGGTGCTGCATGCAAAGAATTAATTGAAGATGAGGAGCATGGAGCAGGTAATTCTTGTGTAAATTTTTATTTTTACACTCATTATACTCGAATCTTTAATATTACATAAAAAATATAGCACTATTATCACTTTTTTTAAAAGTTAAATTCGTCTTTTCATACTGTTATGCATATAAATATGAAAGTTCAGATGTGAAATATGTAAATACATAAGAATTTTGTTGCTAAGTATGTGAATTTTATTTTATTTTTAACAGTTATTTACACACATATCACCCAATTTTTATGTATTTATATATCTAATACCTCAACTTAACTTCTCATAAAAAAATACAACTCTGTTAACTTTTAGAAAGTGAAATACAGCTTTTCTTGTAACATAAAAAGTTTGTTAGTTTTGTAATTAATCTTCATTTTTTTGTTACATTTTTAAATTTTTATTGAAATGTGAGTTGAGGGGCAGTGGAAGATTATAAAGGAAAAAAACATTTGAAAAATCGAGGTGGTTAATGAAATTTTCAGATGATGGAAGAGTTGGATGTAGCGGAATTTGCAAGGAAGAATCTGGTGAGATGGTGTCATATGCAAAATCAGAAGAAAAAATGTGTTTTGAGAAATTCTCAAGACATAGTTAAGAAGATATTGGAGCTTAAATTTTCAAGCAAAGAAGGCAGTTGTTCTTTTGTCAAACTTATTACCCAAAGCAACATCATTAAAGTTCCCTTTATGGTAAGATTGCCCCTTCTCTATCATATCATAGATAAGGTGGCATCTGGCATGCCATGCATAAATTGAAGCATAGGTGTTGGATGTGTAAATACATAGAAATTGAGTTGTATGCATGTAAATTTACCATTTTTTATTGATTTAACTTTGAATCCTGCATGCTGCATGCTGCATGCTGATATCTCTTTTCATATGATATAATAATTTTGTATATTTTGTGTAGGCTACTCCTATAAAATTTGTGAAGGAATGCATTCGACAGAAACCACATGGAATTACTGTGTTCTGCAGCGAGAGCAAGAAGAGGTGGTACGTGAGTTGCAGCAGGAGAAGCTCCTCTTGGGGGTTTTGTGGAAAATCACTTTTTAAATTATTGCAGGAAAATATGATTCAGAAGGGTGATGCCTGTGTGTTTCAGCTCAAGGAAAACAGGAAGGATGTGGTCATGGAAATGCGCATTGTGAGGGCTGAGGAAGTTTGTTCTATATTAGAAGAAAGTTATTTTTGAAGGATGCATGAGGTTGTTTTTGTAATTGGGTATTTCATGAAGGGTGTTTTTGCTGTTTTGCTCATACTCTCTTATCTCTGATTTGTGCCATGTGAAGTTTTATTTTATGTTATTTCCATGTGTTAATTTTTAGTATTTTTTGTTTCAAATCAATGCTTTAATTTATGCTTCTACCCGAAATTTGAGATGAGAAGCAATTTCATCTTGGCATGCATCTTCATAATTTTTAAAATGAGTTGATGAGAAGATGAATGATGACTGATTTTTTTGTTTTTTGGGTGAGAAAATTAGATTTGCAGCCCACTATTCTTCCATCTCACATCTAAATTTTCATATACATACATATACCCTCATCCATGAAAGATGGATTTTCGCTTTCAAACGAATGATAATATTAGTATTGATACGCCATCAACAAATTTTCATCATCCGGCACGAATCTCGAAGCATTACATCAATCACGAAACAGTTTTTTAAAGAAAAAATATTCAAAGCTCGATAAGAACTTATTCAAAACTTTGATTTCAATAAGCTTCAGTCAAGCTGACCGGTTCGACAAGAAGAACAAAATATTTATCAAAATTAGTCAAATTTGAGTAAATTCAAGCTCGGATTAAGTCATTAAATCACTCTATTTATAAAACAATACATTCTCATGAGAGAGGAGCTTGAGGCTTGACAAAGAACATGAAGTTTTGAGAAAAAGTTAAAGTCCAGCACTACTCCTGAGACAGGCGACCGTCACCGACTGCAATGGATCACTGTTAACTGTTGCCGACCTTCGTCGACTCCCGTTGACCGCCGTTGATCATTTGGACCACCGTTAATTCTCATCCATCATTACCGACCGCCGTTGATCACCACCTACCGGCCTCCCCTAATCGTCATCACATGTCGCCCATTTCTTACGACAATTTCATTCTTGCATCAACGTTGTAATTTCAAAGAATGTTCAACCATTTCCTGCCTATGGAACGAATTATTGTACATGTAATATCCAGTTTATAGTGGATTTCTTCAGCTGAGCTAAACCCCATAGTTTTTTCCTTTTCTGGGTTTTCCACGTAAAAAAACTTCTAATATCATTATTGATTTTTTTTCTCTTACGAGCGTGTGTTAAATCTTCTTACTACGCTAAGACGACAATCTGCTGCTCTACTGCCACAAATTTTCTTGCACGCATCAAGTACTTTTGATGGTGGCATAATTGAAAATAATTTTGAAAATTTTTTTGTGATATTTACAAATCTACCAGCCAAATCTTATGCATTAATATATCAAACCATCTAAACTTTAATTTTTATCTAAAGATCAACCAACATCTATAGAAAACATCAAAATCTGATGATTATGTATGTAAACAACAAAGTTTTGGGGTTTTGATATGCTAAAAAAATTTATGAAGTTGGGTGGGTTTCCTGCCCTAAATGTCTCACATTTCCAGAAAAATAATTGAATGTGATGTCGTATTAATGTAATGACATTTTTCAAAATAGTTAATACTGCATCGTAAAATGTCATTATAGGATAAGATCGAATTTGATTTAAGAAACAAACGGCCCCACATTTGACACGGAAATGATGAGCTAATTAATTGCTTTTAGTTATTTTTAAAAAATACTTAAATCTACATAAATAATTAGTCAACCATTACATCTGTACAAAGTCAACCTTTAAATATAAATATATAACTAACTATATATATATATACAAAAAGCACGCGCCGAGGAAGCGAAGATAAGAAGGAAAAACAAAGGGGTATTAATATTGGGAGCGCTTCTTCCGGCGATCGAGATTGAAGCGGCGGGAAGAGGAAGAGCTTCCACATGCGGCATTCGTTGACTATAAAACCACAATGTCTCGATATCAATGGAGGTATCAAGCGTCGTCTTCAAAGTTTCGAGATCGACGGGGATTACAGAACCGGGTGGTGTTCTTGCCTTCAACGTGTTCGATCGAATGCCGCAGAGGTTTTACTTCCTTTAAGGTTAGAGCTTTCAGAAGAAGGCCGATTGCAGGAAGATTTCCCGATTGGATTTTCGATAAGGTTAGTGATGCTTCAGTCTTCATTGATTTTTTCCTAAAATTTTAGAGTTTAATTGGACTTGAAATAATTGGATCAAATTGGTGTTGTGATTGTATTCAAGTTGGTTTGATTCGAATGTATACATTTTGAGCCGGTTTGAAATAATTTAACTTGAATTTGAGCAAAATTATTATTATTATTTTGTGAGATGGTTAATAATACTAAAAGAATATAAATATATTTGATTTCTTTATATGTCGTATTGTTTTTAATAGTAAAATGAATATAAAAGCTCATGCATGTATTTGTATTTAATAAATCTCTCCCTCTCTCTCTGTGGCATTTATATATATGCACCACCTAATTCTTAGGTATTTACATATCTAACGCTTAAATTTTGCATTTTTTTATATTTTCCCCACTCAGATCTCTTATATCATAGAAAAAAATATCACTTTTAGAAGGTGAAATATATATTTTCATGCATGAGTAAGATGTCATATATATATATATATATATATATATATAAAAGCTGAAGTTTTGGTGTTAGATATTTATATAAATAGGGGTCATTAAAAAGATGACCTTTTCATTAGAGAAATTTAAAACGGCTAATTTTAGTAAAATAAATCCTTTTAATAACTTTATTCTTTATTGATATTCTTTATTGATACTCTTACTTTTATACCCATCCACATACTTTAGAGATGTTTATAAATATTATATTTTTTAAAAAATTAGGAGATTGTGATCATGCATGTATTGGACAAGAAAATCATGGCCCTTGAAATCTAAACATTAGAATTTTTATATAAATTGCGTAAGAATTGTGCATGTTTTGCTCTTTCTCTGTTTTAATGGCTATTACTGAGGCTTTTGAATGTTAATATTCTCCCAATATTTTTAATACAGATTTAGTGTTTGGATAGAAAGAGAAGAGAATAAGTGATAGGATGGTTGGTGGCATGGAATTGAGTTCCAGTAGTGGAGGCGCTTCTTTTGAAGGGAAGTTCACTTTTTATGTGGCTGTCTGTGCAATAATTGCAGCAACTGGAGGCCTTATGTTTGGCTATGATATTGGGATATCTGGTTTTTATCTTTCTTCTCTCTTTTTTTTTTCTTATTGATGATCTGTATCATTTGTGAAGTTTTCATGTATCGCATTATTTAAATGAAATTATTACAAATTTTGTTCAATATTAGGTCCTAATTATAAAATTTTAAAATTGAATAAACATGTAAAAAAATTTCCATCCTTTATGATTTATGCATTGGAATGCATTCATGCGTTTAATATGAAAAAATATCTAGGATATTATTTGGATTAAATATTTATATGGGTTATTTAATATTATGAGTTGGTTCAATTATTGGATGGATCATATAAACAGTTTATTCTGAATTTAGTTTTTTATCATAAATGTTTATCATGCATGCATTGCCATTTAAAGAATATATTATTGGTATTTCAATATTAGATTTTTATTCCAAAATTGAATAAAATTACATGAATGATTTCATTCAAATGTATTTTTTAATATCAAAATACATGTTTTCATGCATATCGCCGTATATGCATGTATTTATGTGTTACATCCATCCTGTTACACAGTCACTGCATCATTAATTAGGTCATGAATACATGCATAAAAATATAACAAAATGGAAGCTATGATTTATTAATTTAATTCCCTAAATCTAATTATGTTTGATTACATATCTTTGGTTGTGGTTGGAGCCGCTATTTGTACAGTTTGGGATTCTCTTTTTGTGCATATATATAAACACATCCATGCGATGTATATGCCTTTATTTCATTATATTTATTAACTAGATTGCACTAAAAGTAGTATAAAGCAATGATTATAATAATACAAGTTTGTTGCTGTGATTCACATTAGATGTGACCAGAGCTGTGATTTTATTGCTTTCCTATGGACATTTGTTTGTTGGAGGCCCTAGGATAGCAAGTCTTAGAAGAGCATATGGTTAGGGATTTACTCTCTTTTTTTATTCGTCTCTTACTATTTTACATTTTTTTACTATCTTATAATGAATGTTCTATGATGATATTTGATGGACATCACCCACGTTATCTATGATGACAATTAATTTTAAAATTGCACATCATTCATCTAGAGGCTAGAGGTCAAATTTATTTAAAATGAAACAAACCTAGCTTATGCTTTCAATAGGAATAGTAAATGGATATTCAATTTATCATCTTAGATATAGATCGATGATATGTCGACCTCTAGTTTTATTGATGCATCTATCATCTCTTGACGTTGTGAATTTACATATAGTTTTGAATTCACTTAAAGCTAGATAGCTCAAACATGCACTTCACTTGCATGCCTCTTCTCCATCTATTTAGCTTTAGAATGTGTTTGCTCCTCTTCATCTGGGTTTGATTGGCCTTTAACTGTCATGCACAATCAGCGAGTTTAGCGCATTCATTATCAAGTAGGATGTAACTCCAATATTTTGGGCCTTATGTGATCATGTTGTGAGTCACAATCCCAAAGTTTCTTATATAATTTAGAAGACTCTTAATTCTTAGGTTATAGCTTTCTTATTTTGATCGGCTTCTTCCCTCATATAATTGTAGAACATAAGTCTCGTTTTTCAGCCTAGAATAAAGTCTGCCTTATAATTTCAGGTCTATGAGAACTTCTTGAATGATGCAACAACCTACAAAAATCCTCTTAGTTAGATAATTTTGATGATCTTTTCCAATTAGACTAGGATCAATGATGACCCCAAATGATGGACAATTATGAGATGCTAATCATGAGAACCTCTTTAATTATTGTACCTTATATTCTTCCCTTTTCTTATGATTTGTGAGTCTATTTTCTTAGTTTCAAGCCTATTTTTAAGGATGTTTATCTTCTCCCTAAAATAATTATTTGCCTTACGATTAGTCTTTTTCTCTATGATTAGTCCTCTCACTTCTTTTATCATAGTCATATTTTCTTTTTGGATTAGCCATCTCCTTTAGGATTAGTCTTCCTTTCAATAGATTAGAATCTTTTTCTTTTTTTTTTCTAGGATTAGTCAGGCAATTTCTTATGTTACCCAACCTGCTCCCTAGGTTGTAATCCCTTTCCTTAAAAATAATTTTCTGATGCTATTATTTTATGAGTCTTTTTTGCATTTGTATGGGTTGTAAGGCTTTTATATCATAATAGCTTCCCTAAGTAATAATCATGGGTTTTTTTGTTGATTTGATTTATCTATGTTCCAAAATATCAGTCTTATTTTTGAAGTTATTAGTGTTATCAAAGGGCAAAGCGCAATGTGATGCACAAGACTTTACTTTTGCTTCAAAGTGCTAATAGCTCAGACAACACTATGAATGTCTAAATACATTCTTTAACAATTATAAAATATAAATTATAACTTAAAAGTTGATATAACATAGAAAAAAATGTGATATAATACATAACTTAAGGGAAAATATTGAGGGTAAACTTGTAAATTAAAATTTTGAACAATTTATAATAGTTTGCTACAATAATTAAAATCTAAAAAATTGCAAAAAAAACTTGCAAATTAACTTCAGTGCTTCGAAGCACGCCTCAACGAAGTGAAGTGGGCATTATTCGCTTCGCTTCGCTTTACTTGTGAAGCTTGCTTTTAAAAATATTGGAAGCTATCTTGTTCGGCTTTCATTCCCGCGGGCGTCCTTATCCTAAAATTGTTTTCTAAAAATTAAAGCAAAAAGTTTATTTTAGGAAAAAAGATTCATCCATACTTTGGACTTGGATTGTTTTGATCACCAACCTATCATTGTTTCTCTCACCCTAAGAGCTCATACATATTCTTTATCACAACATAAATTACAGCAAACACATCATGAGCCCTAATAAACCTTGGGATTCTTCATACGTATCTACATTTAGGATTGCCTTTCTGACTATGCTTCAATAATCATATATTTGAGCTCACTTCTTCATCTTGAGTATTTTCATACCTTATTAGAAGAGATCAATTATCATTAAAAAAAAAAAAAACATACATGTATAATACACTAAGATTGGCTTAATTAGAAGTTTTCTTCGATATCACTCAATATATAATTAACCCTAAGTGCAATATTCTTTAAAAAGTTGTTAAGCCCCAAAAACATTTATTAAAATATAGGAGCATCTATTGATTCAATTATTTGACTTGTTGATATCATCAGTTTATAAAGCATATTGTTCTAGAACTATTCCTCAACAATGATTCATTGATATCATCTAAAGTCATCAATCTCGTCAACTTCAAATCCCACCCTCCATATCAAGAAAAAAAAATTATCACATTAAAATTCATATTTTAGGAAATAACAAATTTACTATATTTTGTCATTTGATCAAATGTAATTAGAAATTAATATTGATTATGAACTACACAAATATCTTCAAAATTGATTCCATTGTTTCATTTTCAGATACAAAAGTGAAAAATGATGTCATTACTTTTTAAAACTTGTTTTATATCTTCATAATATTATTTAGTTACGATTTGGATTAGCACATTTAATTCCTCAGGAGATTAAACAAATGTATAGAAGATCAACATTGTTCTTAGCTAGAAGATATTTCTTATTCAGATCCTACAAAACCAGACATGATAATTTTACAAAATGCATACAAGGTTTACAATAACTTGCAAAGTTCATGTCATAATAATAATAATAATAAGATTATGAACAGCATGGTATGAATTTGTTGTCTATAATTTTATGACTTGTAGGAGGAGTGACAGCAATGGATGGATTTCTACAAAAATTTTTCCATAATGTATATGTGAGAAAGCATCTGGCCCATGAGAACAACTACTGCAAGTATGACAACCAGGGCCTTCAGCTCTTCACCTCTTCACTGTATCTTGCAGCCATCATCGCTAGTTTCTTGGCATCTAAGTCCTGCTCCAAGTATGGGCGTAAACCAACCATGCAAGCTGCTTCTGTCTTCTTCATGGCTGGTACAGTTCTATGCGCTGGTGCTGTCAACCTGTCCATGCTTATCATAGGCAGGATACTCCTCGGAGTGGGAGTCGGATTTGCCAACCAGGTGCCTCACACATTTATTGCTTTAACTTTTTTGGAAAATTTACATAGATACCACATGATTCTTATGATTTTTGCATCTTACACCCAAAGTTGGATATTTTCATTCTTAGCACTTCTGTTCCATAAACCTATGCATAAAAAAGATGTATTTAAGTTTTAAAAAGCTGATGAATGTGGTTTTTTTGATGTGATGTTATTGGGTTGAGTTTACGTTTTAGGTATGTAAATATGTTAGAATTGTATGTTATGCATTTTTTTTTTAAGTTCTCATCCTTCTTATTACTTTCTTGTTGATTACTCTGTTTTGTTTATTTTGTACTTGGACATAGAATTGAGCATACAAAGTTTTCACTTTTGTTTAATAAGTTCCCATTAGAGAAATTCATTTGTGGACGTTTCAATGTAGAATTTATAGTTCAAATTATGAGAATTGTTTTTTGTCTGGGTGAGCGAGAAAAAGAGAATATTTGGAAATTGTTGTGAAATTCTTTTGTTGTTATTTAACATCTGTTGAGTGACACAAAATGTTTCTTCAACGTTACTCTATGCTCTCAATCAAACTGCTTCATACCGCTCATCCTACTCATTAATATGCAGGCAGTTCCACTGTTTCTATCAGAGCTTGCTCCTGCAAAAATTAGAGGAGCTCTGAACATCCTCTTCCAACTCGACGTTACCATTGGCATCTTCATCGCCAACATTGTCAACTACTTCACTTCCGAAATTCACCCATGGGGCTGGCGGCTCTCCCTCGGCCTAGCCGGAGTTCCAGCATCCATCTTATGCTTGGGATCCTTCATCATTCCCGAGACGCCATCAAGTCTCGTCGAGCGAGGGATGCTCGAAGAAGGGCTTAAGATGTTGAGGAAGGTTAGGGGGGTGGAGAACGTCGAAGCCGAATTCGAGGAGATGAAACAGGCCAGCAAGATGGCACAACAGGTGAAGCACCCTTACAGGATGCTCATGAATCGACCGAGCAGACCGCCACTGGTGATCGGCATGCTGATGCAGGTGTTCCAGCAGTTCACCGGCATCAATGCCATTATGTTTTATGCACCCGTCCTCTTTCAGACTGTCGGTTTCAAGAACAATGCGTCGTTGCTGTCGGCAGTCATCACCGGTGTTGTAAATGTGGTCAGCACAATTATATCTGTGCTCTCGGTGGACAGAGCTGGAAGAAGGATCTTGTTGCTTTCTGCTTGTTTCTTGATGTTCATTGCTCAGGTAACTTTCATGATGTTAATTAGGAAAATTACATACATAACACACAATTTTTATGTATTTACATGTCTGATATCCAAAGTTTGATATTTACACGTATAACATGTTAGTGCCATAAACCTACGCATGAAAAAGATGTGTTTCGCTTTTAAAATATAATCATTATGGTCTTTTTGATGTGATGTTCAATATTTGAGTGAAATGCTTATAAATATGCATTTTTAAGTGTGATATATGTAAATATATAAGAAATGTGTGGTATTTATGTAAATGCCCCTATTAATTATTTTATGAATGAGCTTAATGACTACTTTACTTTCTTAACACATTCCTAAAATAGTGCAATTTATTTAGAGTGGAAACTACACAAAAAAATGATTCATATTTTCTACTCCAAGCATTTTACTTTGTTATAACATAAAGTCATATTCAACTACTGATTCAATTTTTTTTAAGAAGATTTACATACATACCACTCAATTCTTTTGTATTTACATACCTAACACCTAAACACCTAAACTTAAATTTTTACATACATGCATACTACCTTACCTAAGCATGACAAGCTGTATTTCATTTTTTTTTTTTTGAAGTTAAGATAGTGTATTTTGATGTGATATGAAAGGAATGGGCATAATAAATGTGAAAAAAACAAAGTTTAGGCGTTAGATACATAAATACATAGGAATTGGGTGATATGCATGTAAATCCCTCCTTTTTAAAATGATTTTCTGCTTCTTAACATACTAAACTGCATATTTTTCTACTTTGTAGACTACAATTGGAAGCCTTCTCTATGCTTACTTGAAGACTACAAACAGCCTCCACAAAGGGACAGCCATTGTAGTAGTCCTTCTGGTCTGCATCTTTGTCATGAGCTTTGCATGGTCTTGGGGTCCTCTTGGCTGGTTGATACCAAGCGAAACCTTCCCGTTGGAGACGAGAACCGCCGGGTTTGCTTTCGCCGTGAGCACGAACATGCTCTTCACCTTCCTCATAGCCCAAGCCTTCCTTTCCATGTTGTGCCACATGAAGGCCGGCATCTTCTTCTTCTTCGCGGCCTGGATCTTCATCATGGGATTATTCGCCATGTTCTTGTTGCCTGAGACGAAGGGAGTTCCGATCGACGAGATGAACGAACGAGTCTGGAAGCAACACTGGTACTGGAAGAAGTTCATGGCAGACAAGGATGATGCCGTTCATGATGACAACTTTGTGGTTTGATTTGCAATTTTTTTTTTTAAGATGTCGTAAACATTTTGATCAGATTTTTATATGTTAAATGGAGACTTAAGTTAGTTGGTTTAAGCAAATATTAGCTAGTTGAATTCATATGTTATTAACTAGTTGATTGCATTCATGATGCATTATTATAAATTGTTTTCTGCATTATTCCATTTTCGTCTGTCAAATCTATATATTATAATTTCTGCACAATCTCTTTGAATCAGAAGACTTAAAATTCCATGCAATGTATTTTGTCCATATTTGTAAAATAACAAATTCATTTCAGTCAGCGACAACAATGGCTATATTTTATAAAATATCAAAGCAATATAACAAGATACATTAAGTTGAATGTTAGAAACATTGAAATTTATTCAACTTGTAAAAGCTCAGCTCATAAAACTAAACACACAATCACAACTGGCATAACAAAATCATCATAAACCAAACTCAAAAGCCTAACAAAACAACACCGCATGAGACCACCATGATCAAGCTGCCGATAAAAACAGATGCTCCCGTCGCCAATCGATCTCCGGCATTGGGTGGAGGCGGTGACGAGTCAGACGGTGACGACGAAGGGGCAGCAGAGGAGTCGACAGCGAGTATGTCGACCTTTTGGCCACCTTGGCAGTGGCCGGGAAATCCACAGATGAAGTACGAGTGGCCGACGGACTTGATGGTGATTGAATCGTCTCCGGTGTCATACTCTTTGATAGCTGAAGTATTCTTGCATGCTGTGAAGTCAGCCTCTTTGACCTCTAACACGTTGTGAAATTGTTTGTTGTATTTGAACACTAGAAAGCTTAAATTGCATGAGAAATGTGGAAATGACATTTGAAAAATGAGAATGACGATGCTGTACGAAAAAGGGTAATTACATGTAGACAATCCCAGAAATATTGATATTTACAAATAAACCACCCAGATGTTTTTTTTGAACTGCCGAACCGATGTTCAACTATTGAGAATTTGATAAAAATGAAAAATATGAGTTGGGGATTTATCATGAATTTTGATGTTTTGAGTGAGAATTTGAAAAATGGATGAAAGCGGTGGTTGGTTTGTACATAGAACGTTTTGGTTATCTGTACGCAATTGCCACAAAAAAAAAAAAAATTATGATGCCTTAAATTATAATAAAATATTAACATGAAACAAAACAACAATTATGCAAAAGAAAGTGCTTCATCTCAATATATAATATACGAAAATAATGTCCGACTACTATTTACATATTGTCAGTTTTAGTCTAAGAGTTTATAGAAGTGTCAAATTAGTCTGCGACTATTCTAAAACCGAGCATTAATAGTTCTCAATGGGTTTTCAATTATAATTGAAAGAGTATGTGAATTATTTTAACATTTTTATAAACTCTCGACAAAAATCGTACCATGTAAATAGTCGGAAACTATTTTGACATTTTATATATATATATATATATATATCTTAAACATCATATGTGTCGTGTATCACTGCCTGTTGGTTGGCAGTCACGGTATAAGACCCATCAGATCGGAGGTTCCATTCCCCTCTGACACAATTGACCTTAAGTAGATAGTACTCGAATTGTTAGACACATTAGAAATGATTGGAGGCTCATATAATAGCCCCTAATGATTCCTTTTCAATATAATATATATATATATATATAAATACACGAGATGTTCTCGCGCGCCAACGCGAAAATGTAATTAGATAGAAATATATTTTTCAATAAGATAATGGTGAAATATATAGGCATCAGTGTGGTACATGTGACTATGCGAGCAGAGCTAGGTGGCCCAATGCCTAATTTAGACTATTTCATGCAAATCTCATCAATGTCCAACCTCAACTGCCCCACATGACTTTAAAGTCATCTCATTAAAAACTAATACCATGCTCCCATCCAAAAATTTCATTTGAAATCCGGACCAACATCCTTGTCATGCACAGTCATTGAAGGAAATAATCCTCTTATTTTCTTAATATATATATATATATATATATAATAAATTTCAGGAGGCATAGCATAGATCTGCCCCGTTGTGTGAAGAAACTAATTAGGATCCGGAAGAAGTCCCTAAATTAGAAAAATATGTTGATTAGGGTTAGTGGCGTAAGTGAGTCAAGAAGACTAATGAACCAGCTCTAGCTCGGCTTGATAAATGGCGTGTGAACTAAGCTCGATGAGGTGACAAGCCAAGCTCAGGCTAGCTCCGACTTAACCAGGTAGCTCATTTAAAAAAATATTATATAAAATACATTCATAATATATTAAATTTGAAGGTTTTATCTTTAAAATATTAAAAATGTTTTAAAAAAATGATTTTATAGTTTATATTAAGTGATTTATTATTATTTATCTCCTTATTGCTAAGTATATTTGTCATTTTATTATAACACAATCTTAAATTAATAATATTTTCTCTCCTTTATAATAAACAAGCTAGCCCATGAGCTGGTTTGAACTCATAGACATAAGCTTGAGCTCTAACATGATTAAATTAATCAAGCTTAAGCTCAAACCGATGATGGCTCGAGCTCGATTGGACTCATCTCGTTTGCACCCATGATTAATTAGGGCCAAGAAGAGGCCTAATAGCATTATAAGATATTAAGATAATAATCAAACCCATAAAGAAAAAAAATTACAAATTTACCCCTTAACCTATTTATTTACAACAGAAATGCCTAATTTTTACACACACATATATTCACTTTTTAAAAATCAAAAGAGTATATCTTTTATCTGATATAAAATATTAGGTTGGTCTAAATATAAATATAAAAAGTATGTTTAGATGCTAGATATGTAAATATATAAGTGTCGGTCGGCATGCACGTAAAAGCCCAAAAATAAAAGAAAAATTAAGTTCTACCATACAGAAAAGACAAATTAATCCAGAAGCTTCCATATTATTATTGCATCAATTTAAAAAGAAAAAAATTTAAAAGATTAAAATCATGAAAATTAAAAAAAAAATTGATCATACAAATATTTTATTTTTTATTTTTTTTAATTTTATTATTAAAAATACATTCTTATTTACCTTTAAATTATTTATTATTATAGCCGATTATAAATTGACCACAACAAGGGAAAAATAAAAAATATATTAAAAAAAGGGATAATTACATACATGAAGTATCTTGAAATAAATAAATAATTTACTTAAATTGTAACAGTAAATAAACTTTATAAAATAAAAATAAAATCGCTAAAAAAAAAGTAATTAATCTTACGAAGCGTGTCGCCTTGATGAAAGGCCTTGTTGGAAGCCCACAGAGTGTAGTTTGGGCTGTTGATGATCGTCCACCCCGTGCTGTCCCCGACGGTGAAGATCTTCGCCGAACGGGCCGGCCCGGTCCAAACCACCATCGTCACCGCAATCAGTAACCAAGACTTCACAGAGGAATCCATGGCTCTTTCTTCTTCCTTTCCCTCTCTACAAGCCTAAGTAAGAGAGAGAGAGAGAGAGAGAGAGAACAGTGGGGAGGCAGAGAGATTACTAGTCGCTGTTATGGAAAATTGTGTAATTGGGTTGCACTAATGTAGGCCTATCATGCAAATCGCAATTACAGTTATACCCCTGTCGATAATATTTATTCATCTTATAAATGACGAATCTATCCATGTTAGGAAATGGTCAATTTTATCTCTGCTCTCATGGTTTCATTATAAATTTGGCAGTGATATGTTTCAATTAGATTCCAACTTAATTCAACTTAGAATTGATTGGGGGCATTTAAAAGGCATTTAGAACATTTCATGCTTATACTTATATTATATGGGATAATTACATATTAAGCATCTAAAATATTGATATTTATAAATTAACCGTTCAGGTAACATGTATTTACGCGTGTCACAATCAAATCATTGAAAATTTGATAAAAATGCAAAATATGGGCTGCAATTTTACTATAAATTTAGACAAGGTTGTCTTTAAGAAACTGCCCCTTATTATATTCATATTCAATGATATTAATATTTTTAAAAATATATATTATTGTTATTTAATTAAAACTTTAAAAATTATATCATCTATTATATATATTTTTTTTTAAGTAAAGCATTTTGGGCTAAATCGTTAGAATTGAAGTTGTAAACAAAGCGTTGAAATGTTTTGCAATTAAATGCCAAAATATAAAGCATTTTTTTTGTGAAATAAGTCAAATATTATTGCATTCCACCCCCTTCAAATTTTAGTAATAATAATTAGAATAGCAAATAGGGTTGTAGCTCAAGCGAGCTGAGCCTCGGCTCGTTCCCTTTTCGCTCATATTCGAAATGGTTCGCGAACAATGTGTTCTTGTTCGACTCGAATAACTTATTCTCGTTCGTGTTCGGATTAAATAACATCAACAGCACTGATGATGCAGCGATAACACCTGAAAAACACCAGTAACATCAACATACACCGTGGGATAACGCCCGTGTTTTTAATTACTAGGGTGTTATTCCGAGGTGTTACCCACCGTATATTTATATTTATTTTTTTATTAGTTTATTTATTTCTTTTTGAGCCAATTCGAGCTGAACACGAGCGAACATTTTTTTGTTCGTGTTCGGCTCGTTTATATTTCGAGCGAACATTGTTCGTGTTCGGCTCGTTTATATTTCGAGCTTAAAAATTTGTTTGTATTCGGCTCGTTACCCTTTACAAATGAAACGAACACGAGCTGCTTAATGAGCCGAATACATGTTGTTCGCCAACGACGAGCCGTTTTGACAGCCCTAATAGCAAAAATAGGTAGAATAAAGTTTTAATATATGCCAATAAATAGAAGGCATCAGCATGTGGATAAATTAGAGTAGTATGTATGACAAAAGATTTTTAGTCTTTTTTTTTTTAACTTTAATTTAAAAAGTCTATGATTCTGTAAATACGAACATAATTCTACTAATTTATTCATAGTTTATGTCAGAAAGATTGTTGATGCTAAATCAAATCAACCAAAAGAGTGGTTCATGTTTTGCTAGATGCAATGTGAGTGGTAATGGACAGATGGATAGATGCTCACTACTCGTTTTAAAAAAAAAAGAATTAAATAAATAAAAGAAGATTTACAAACATACCCCTCAATTCTTTTGCATTTACATATCTATCACCAAAACGTCATTTTTTTTGCAATTTTTGCATGTATGCCATTGTGTGGCTATAGAGAAAGGTTCTTGCAGGCTTTTTTTTCATATACAATATAAAAGATGGAGGAGAGAGGGAGAGAGGGAGAGATTTGATTGCCTCGTTCAAATTACAATTAAATATATCCATAAATGCAACCAAAATCATTTGACTAATCTTACCAATTGATATATATATA